GTATATCTAAGGGGTAGAGACATAGTCTTGCATCTTGAACGTGTTTTTTTATTCGAAATAATAGTCACAAAGCCTGCCAATTTATGAAAAAATGTATCTTATTTTTATTGTGTTTGACATAAAATATTTAAATGTAATCCATTATTCGTGATTTTACGTATTGTAAACAGAATATATCGTATGTCGCAACCCTTGGATATATCAAATCTTCCCACTGGCAGTTCATTTGTTTGGAATGCCTAATTAGACATTCCAACGACCTGTCAAACAATAGGTGCCAGTGGGAAATTCTTGTATATTTAAGGGGGTAGCGACATAGTCTTGCAACTTGGAGGCTATTTTTATTCGAAGTAGTACTCGCCAAGCCTGCCAATTTATGAAGAAATGTATAGGTGGGTTTTTTAAATATTATTTTTATTGTGTTTGACATAAAATATTTAAATGTAATCCATTATTCATGATTTTACGTAATGTAGATAGAATACACCATATGTCGCTACCCTTAGATATACCAAACCTGCCCACTGGTAATTCATTTGTTTGGAATGCCTAATACAATATATGACAACTGCCTATATTCAAGCAGTCTTCTGCGCATCCTGAATTTGTATCCCTGGAGTGGATGTTATTTTGGAACATCCAATTAGTCCGAGTGAGCGAACTGATTCTTTTAAGCTATACACTGTGCCTAATTGTAAGTGCTAAATGGTGTTTAGACTGTACCTATGCCATACATTAGACACATTTGTCATGTGTCACCTCAAACCGAGTTTAACTTTAAGTAAGATTTATACAACCCGCCCTTAAGATATCTTTAACTTATATATCCTTAAGAAAGTCGTTACAAACACCTGTTACTTTGACACTTTGAATTACCTATTTAAAAATTTTATTTGTACCGGTCCGGTTGGTTCATGGTTCCTCAATTCTATAATAATTTGTTGTTTTATCGGCAACATAATTAGACAAGTAATTATAAAAGTAATTGCTAATTCCTTTTTTTATGTAATTGTAATTAAATCAATATAATTCCTATTTTTACAACATGTACTTTGTACTTGTAATTAATTCCTTTTTTGAAAAAGTACTGTGGCGAAAGTCTAATTTATTTAAAGTTTATTTATTTAAAAACACACTATTTACAATTTATTTCAGAGGTACTATTTAATTTATGTAATAGTTAGACACTAACTAACAATTCTAATTTATTTCTTACACTTTAACTTCCCGTTCACTTTCATTTTTGAATGTGAATTAATTATATATTTATAAAGATATTAAACTCTTTTGTCTGGTGGTACTTTTCCCGTTAAGATATTTTTGCTAGAAGTAAGGGAATTCCCATAAAATTCTCTCAGTGACTCATTGCGTAAGAAAATCCCTAATTTCGTTCACGTCTCGTATCGGTTATGCTTAAAGACGGCGGGGTTGTCGAAAGTATCCCTAATATACCATTTCTGCATTTATATATGTAATTTAAATAGTAAATTTCCATTATTTTTCTAAAAATCATGAACTTATATTTTCAGATTTAAAGCTGGGAGCTTATTTTTTACTTTTTAATTAAAACAATTATTATTATTACTCAGACTGAAAATTAACCAGACCATAATCAAAAAGTAGAAATTTGATTTGCAATATTTATCTGGTAAATGTGGCAACGTTGCATTTATTTCTAGAAGTGTGTCTAGACAACACTATTTCGAAGTACTTACAACGTTGTCACGTTTACCAGATACATTTTCTCAAATAAAATTTAAAAAAGGTAAGGCTTCCAGCTTTATCTGAAAATATAAACACATTATTTTTAAAAAATAATATATTTTTATCATGTAAATTTCTTTAATAAATGCAGAAGAGGAATGGTGGTGCAATGATACATCCGACAACCGCGCCCTTTTAACTATTAACCGATAAGAGACCTGAAGGGAATTAGGGGTTTTCTGACGCAATGAGTCACTGAAAGAATTTTATGGGAATTCCCTTCTAGCAAAAATATCTTAACGGGAAAAGTACCACCAGACAAAAGAGTTTAATATCTTTATAAATATATAATTAATTCACATTCAAAAATGAAAGTGAACGGGCCCATACAATGTTCTACATTAAACTCAACTCGGCGCTGATATGTCGGCTATTTATTAACCGAGTTCAAAAAAGGAGGAGGTTATCAATTCGTCGCGATATTTTTTTTTTGTATGTATGTTCAGCGATTATTCTTTAACACAGTGTCCGATTTTAATGATTCTTTTTTTTTTAGAAAGGGGGTACTTCAGGGGTGGTCCCATATAAATTTGGTTAAAATCTAATAATTGGATCCATGGGAAAATCCTCAAACTCTTCATTTTTTATGTATGTTTAGCGATAATGCTTTACTATCTTGTCCGATTTCAATAATTCTTTTTTTGATAGAAAGGGGGTACTTCAGGGGTGGTCCCATATAAATTTGGTTAAAATCTAATAATTGGATCAATGGGAAAATCCTCAAACTCTTCATTTTTATGTATGTTTAGCGATAATGCTTTACCATCTTGTCCGATTTCTATGATTCTTTTTTTGTTAGTAAGGAGGTACCTCAAGGGTGGTCCCATGTAAAGTTGGTTAAGATGTGGTGTCGGCATCTGCACGTTTTTGAAGTCGGTTTTTTTAAATTTTTAATTTCTAATACTTGTTAACCGTCTTCAAAAAAGGAGGAGGTTATCAATTCGTCGCGATATTTTTTTTTATGTATGTTCAGCGATTATTCTTTAACACGGTGTCCGATTTCAATGATTCTTTTTTTGTTAGAAAGGGAGTATTTCAGGGGTGGTCCCATATAAATTTAGACAAAATCTAATCATTGGGTCCATGAGAAAATCCTCAAACTCTTCATTTTTTATGTATGTTCAGCGATAATTTTTTAACACGATGTCCGATTTCAATAATTCTTTTTTTGTTAGAAAGGGGCTACTTTAGGGGTAGTCCCATATAAATTTGGTCAAAATCTAATAATTGTATCCGTGAGAAAATCCTCAAACTCTTCATTTTTTATGTATGTTTAGCGATAATGCATTACCACCTTGTCCGATTTATACGATTCTTTTTTTGTTAGTAAGGGGGTACCTCAGGGGTGGTCCCATATAAATTTGGTTAAGATGTGGTGATGGCATCGGCACGTTTTTGAAGTCGGTTTTTTTAAATTTTTAATTTGTAATACTTGTATTAGTCCAACTCCGCTACTGGAAGATACGAGAGGCTCTCGAACATTCCTTTTTATGACTAAGCGGCACTCTCCGCCATTCCAGTCGCTTCCAGTGCATCAGCGGCAGACATTCCGTCGTATTCTTGTACATTCGAGACGCGGTCTGGCTGTTTCCACACGTCAGCGTTGCTTTGATCACGAGTTGATTGCGTGCGTATACAGGGTCGGATTAGGAATTCATGACAGTACTTTGTAATTGTAATGATTTTTAAAGTACATGTAATTACCTAGCTCTGTGCTATTATTTATTGATTCTACACAAGAAAACCCAATTTAAATGTATGTTTAATCACAATAATTAAAAAATATATTGACAATTAGTTTGACAGAATTGTCACTTACCTATTTAAAATTTTAAAAATAATAGCGTCGGTTGATCAAAATATGAACGGTGATTGGTGGATTTTATTTTTTGCACTGTTCTCACTACCTACAATGGATATGAAATATATTCGTTCAGTTGAAGGCAATAGCATTTTTTTTCGTTCTGTAATCTGTGCGTAGATAAGCTAATATCCATGTGGGTGTAGAAAAAATATGATCATATTACTATTTTAAAACATGACATGACAACTACGATATCCCCGCTATCGCTATTCACGCTGATTTTGTCAACGACATTAGGTTCGGCTAATATCCCACCACCAAAGATATCTTCTTGTTCTAGTCGACGACTGGCTTTTGTCCTGTCTCATGGATGGTGTAAATATAATCATAACTTAGTACCTATTTACAGCAGTGTGTAGTATCATGTTTAAGTAATTAGCAAAAAGAGTAGCACCACAAAAAAAATTGTTTTGATTTTGTTTTTTGAATTTTTCTTATGTAGGACCTATTTTGGGCGGGAAACGCCAGGCATGCTTATCGTTTTTTCCACAACTGACTAAAATATTTTTAGCTATACAGGGTGTTTCCGCACTTGGCGTCCAAATTTGTAGGGGTGGTAGTTCGCATAATTTGAGACCGATTCGCAGATTTCATTTTTCCAAAATATTTAAAATAAAAATAATTAAAAATTATAAACAGGTACGGTCCTGCACAGCGATAGGTTCGGCTCGACTCGCGCGCGCTACGCTTAGAATCGACAAAATTGCAAATCGCATCTGTTTTGAGGACTATTGCGCTACGCGCTCAGGGTAGGACCTGCTCTTTGATTTTTTTATAATGGTTCTATTTTGTTTATTATAAGTTTTTTAGAAAAATGAAATCTGCCAATCGCTCTCAAATTATGCGAACTACCACCTCTACAAATTTGGACGCCAAGTTCGGAAACACCCTGTATATGGCGACTCTTATCAATGTTCACGCAAATCTTTACTAGACGTAATAGTACGTACAAAAACTTATAGATTGCACCATGTATTTCGATTTTCGAAAATTTTGTTTACTCATCTTTTTTGCCGCCAACTACTCAAATAATATAGGAATTAAAATTAAACATATTTCTTGTTTCTTATTTATTGTAACTATATTTTTCTCAGAAGTAATATAATAATTTAAGCGCCCTTACTATAACAGTTATCAATTAAGCATTCCAAACAAATGAATTACCAGTGGGCAGGTTTGGTATATCTAAGGGTGGCGACATATAGTGTATTATATCTACTTTACGTAAAATCATGAATAATGGATTACATTTAAATATTTTATGTTAAACACAACAAAAATAATAGACTATGTCGCTACCCCCTTAAATATACAAGAATTTCCCACTGGCACCTATTGTTTGACAGGTCGTTGGAATGCCTAATACAGTTGGCAACGTTGATTTTGTAGTCTGTCAGATCTGTCTCTGTCATATGTCTGTTGTGTAACCTCAAACTTTTCCATGTGTTTTTCTTCCATTTTCATGCAAATATTAAATATTTTAATCTGATGGTTTATAAACGAAAAAAATACCACTATGGGGATACTCATTTAAAAAAGAAGTGGAGAACAAAGCGTAGAACCAAGGATTTGGACGAGGTAACTAATAAAAAAAATACATTTTTATTTTGTCTGCATGATTTATATTTTTTTTGCAGATCGACGCAGATTTGAAACCAGAAAATTCTGACAAATTACTCAGCCAGCCAGTTGATTTTGATAAACCAGGATCGGCTCAGCATTACTGTCTTCACTGTGCACGTTACTTTATATCTGATAGTGCTTTGCAAGATCATTTTAAAACAAAAGTCCACAAAAGAAGACTGAAAGCACTAGAACTTGAACCATACTCTATTGAAGATTCTGAAAGAGCAGCTGGTATTGGTAACTGGAAAACACCAACTAAAAGAAAAATTGAAACCCAGATTATTAATTCTTCAAAGGAGACTGATATCGACTCCGATTCTAATTCTAATAAAAAAATGAAAGTTGATGATGACCAATTATAAGAATACATTGTTTAAATTTCGGAATATTTATAGATATTTTTCATCAGCCTTATACATTACAGGAGACAAAGCTCAAACTACTTTTGCTGTTTTAACACCTATTATAGATTTTGAAAAACAAATAATACATAAAGAAGATTTAATAAAAAATGTTACAGCAAGAGGTTTGAAGATCAATGTTGATGACCTCATAAAACATTGGATATTTTTTCAAGATATTGTAAAACGCAAACAAATTTTAGAAATCACTAGAGCAGATATTAGTCAAACCATTGGAAAATTATTAAAATGTCCAGATGCAGATCCATTGGAAATAGAAAAGTTTAAAATACATGCAAAAATGGTCAAAGATGATCTGAAAAATCTTAAGGAATCTTCCTATGACATAGAAGAGACCACTATGGTAAAAGTTCTTAGTTTGCCAAACATTTTACATTCTAAAACACCTTTGAATGACGAAAACATTCTCTACACTCATTTAAAAAAGCCAGAATTTGATTCATTAAGCCATATGGATAAAGGGACTGAACTAAAATACATCAAATATTTAGATCCATTTACTTGCTACTTAAAATCAGATGCAGCTTTGTTTGAAATTAAATTATTAAATTATTTCAGACAAGCACTCTTGAAGCTAAATTATATTCAATTTTCAAATCCAAATTTTTGTAGAAGTGTTATTTCTGAAGGTTGTGATGAAATTTGCCATAGTGATGAAAAAATGTTTGGTATAGAAGAACAACATCATGAGGAATCCAATATCAATAAACTACGTTTATGTGGTTCTGCATCTTTGTTTTCATTTATGGCATATTTTTCTAGACATCTTGTGCCACAAAATGCTTTTTCACTTAAATATTTTAATCTTGGTAAAATATATCAGCCTGTCAAAGAAAAATCAATTAGAAGTTTGTTTAGTTTGAGCCAACAAACTGTTTTACATATTTTTACAGCAGACTTAGAAAATAGTCCCGATAATTTAGATATTTTAGTTGATCAGATTTCTAAAATATATGATCCTCTAGGTATACACTATAGAATTGCTATTTTACCAGCTAGAGAACTTAAGAAAGCTGAAAGTCTTAGGATATCTATTCAAATGTATTCTAATTTTGAGAAACAATATGTGGAAATTGGTAATGTTTCTCTTTACAGCAGTTACCTGAGTAAAAGACTGTTATTTACTTACTCAGATAAGAAGGAAAGGAGATATCCAGAAGTTACTTCCGGATCTTTATTAAATTTTCATAAATTTTTAGGATGTGTTTTTGAAAATTCTGATAAAAATGTATTAACAGGATTTTTAAACAAATTAAACAATGTATGAAAAATAATTTTAGAGTCATTTATTTGTAAAATTATATTAAGAGCATTATTCATGTACTAAAATTGACTTCCAAGTTTCCAGGCCTATTTTTTATGAAATTTGGCATGCATATTTATGGAGTCGTGCACAATGGGGCTATGAATTTTGATATATATATAAAAAACATTTTTAATATATCAACAAAGCAAAATTTAAGAAAAAAAAAACGAGAAAAAAAAAAATATGTTTATTTCAACTATTTTTGTTTCTACAAAGCCTATTTTTTTTGTAAACCTGGAATTACTAAAAATCAAAAAATGTATTTAGACTACTTAGCAACGTCACACTGATATTGGCCATGTCTCCAAGATTGGCTTGCCATTTAATTAAACTCTGACCAGACAGGTTAAATTTTTGTAATGCTGCTACAGATTTGACGTTTCTGAGACGCTTACTTGCATATTATGCAAAAACCACTAAAAAATATTTTTTTAGTTCTTTATTATAAACGCTTTTATTGATCAATAATTATGTATATATATTTATTAAATTGAAAAATGCCAAAATATTTTATTAAAAATTTATACAAAAAATATACCTACAGGAAAAATTCAAAAACATTCACTTTAAACTCATATAAGTCTAAACAATATTTTGGTAGAGGCAATAGAGGGCATTTCATAAGGATGATAAACTGTTGAACAAGCGTGTAAAAACTAGTTGAAACAGTATGTAAAAACTAGTTAAAATGCGTTAAAACTGCAAACATTATTTTACATTTCTGTTAATTCATATATAAATATTTTCATTTCCAAGACAGTGACAGAGTTAAAAAAAAAATGTGTTATCGTTGTTGGTGATAGTGTGTTTAATAATATAATATGGGAAATACAAAAAATACAGTTTTCCTTCAGAATCTGTAAAAAATCGTATGAGACTTCTTAGATTTAGAAGCTTACTGTCATCCGATAATTTAAAAGTATCCTTACTGTGGCATTTTTATTGTATGTAAAAGCAATATATAATTTTTTGATCTGGCAGTTTCTAGAACCAAAATGCTAAAGACAAATTAAATTATTGAATTGTCTACGAACCATGCACATCCTTTAATAATATGGCGGCCAAAGAGTCGGCAACCTGGGGCCTACCTAACATATTAGGCCTTGTGTTTATTATTATGCGTGTACGGCGACGAAATATCAGTAATTCATATATTACGGATGTATGTTACGATACTAAATTTAGAACTAAATGCATTTTTTAAGAACTAAAAAAAATCACGGTGCAAACAGCAAATTTAGTACTAAAAAAATTAATTAATTGGAACTTGTTCTATTTTCTACTAAATTTAGTATTAAAAATGCGTTGAAATGTTGCAATGAAGTTTTTCTCAGAAAAAGTTGACACAACGGTCTTTTCTGCACCATTTTGTTTTTGGTTAGCGACAACTTTTCATTATCGCCTTGGACAAATTTCGCTTGTGTTTGATTTTGTAGGTTTTATTGGGTTTTTTCGTGGTTTTTAGTAGCATTGCTGCATTTGGTTGTTGTCAAGTCAACTATAGTGTCAGTCATAATAAAAATATCTTTTAATTCACTGGTCTCATTTACACAGAATGTTTCAGTTCTGTGCTAATTTCACGTAATAATACGTCAATACGCGTGCGCCTGGACTTAATTTAGTGCTACAAATTGGTATCGTTGCAAAAGGAAAAAAAAAATTAGTTCTAAATTTAGTACTAAATTAATAACTTAATTTAGGGCTATACTTTAGTATTGTGACATACAGTAATTACGCATTGTAAAGTCGTAAAAGCCAGGGGGGGGGGCAACCAAACGACGCCCATGTAGGAGCGTACTGGATAACGCTCTTATGTATCTATTACCCTACAACTACAATTACAAATGTCCAATGTAACTGAATGTAATTTTGGTATATCACAAGGCAAGTACCTAATGATTCTGCTAAGACAAGAAGTCATATTTACATTTTTAGTAAGTGTATATTAGGGGGACCCATATTTCGTTTGACCCAATGATGGACATGAGACGTGAAGACTGTCATATAGAGAACATTTTTTTCTTATTTGTTACGTTTCAGTAAATTGTGAATCACATATTAGGTTTGTTCCAACAATGATCAGAAACCAGTCATAGCCACCAGGATTCTGCGCAGTAGGACCCAAAATTATATACTGTGCAGAATCCTGGTGCCAATGACTGGTTTCGCATCGTTGTTGGAACAAACCTATTTATTACATTTGCTGAACAATTAAGGCGTTTTGCTGTGTTAAGATCAAATGCTGGACAGACTTTGATTGTACATATGTTTCCTAACGAAGATAGGTCTTTCTTTGTTTCATAATAAAATGTAAGCTTATGAAATGTGTAAAAAACTCGAAATCGGAATTTTTGTAGATATAACCCTTTATTTTAGCAGGGCAGTATTGGTCCTTTATTGTTCGTTATTTACATAAACAATATATATTACAAAAACCTTTCATTTTACTTGTGAAAGACACAGAATGTGTCTAGTTCAAGGTCCATCCCTACTAGCAAAAGCTTTATAAACAAAAAAATACCATTATAGCTGCAATATTTAACAAAAATGTAATTCCTAAAACTAAACCTAGCCAGCGTTTTACTAGTTTATGTGACTATTGAATTAACATTGGTTTTAAAATCAATGTTAATTCAATAGTTTTTTATTATAAATAATAACCGTTTTATTGCTTAAAAAAGCAGCGAATTGCATAAATTTGTCTCAGATTGAACAAATATTAGAAATATGGATGAAATTCGCGGCGCAAAAAATGTGGTATTTTATGTGCTATATAAATAACAGTAAAACGATTACCTATATTGGGGTATATTCTGTAACAATTCCTTTATATTTAACGGCCTTTAAAAGTATTGGCAGCCTTTAAAAATATGTTCGTATTCGTTAATTTATTCTGTCATTATTTAAACAGATTTCTTTAAGATAGTCCTCTAATGTATTTTAAAGATCCGTTTAAATAATGACAGAAGTAAAGATTTTTAAAGGCCGTTAAATATAAAGGAATTGTTACAGAATAGACCCCATTGTGGGTCATACATTATTATAAGCGCGTTATAAATAACTCCTAGGTATCTACAGCCATTTTACTATTATGACCTTAAATTTTTCATTTATGGCAAATCTAGAACGTACTAAGGGATGAAACAGATTTTATTCATAATCTGAGTTAGTAATCTGTGGATTTAAACCCTTCCAAACAATCGGGAAACGATTTATTGCTTACTTGCTTGACTAGCAAATGTCACACTATATCCTTGCTGTTTTTATTTCTCTTCCTGCTTTTTTTCAGAATCATGCTGCATGTAGCTTTTTGCAGCTACACGCAGTTCTGTTGGAGTACATTTAAATTAACTGTCGGTCATATAAAGAAAATTTTATTATTAAAAGAGCCAACCAACTTGTTAGCTAGTCGTTGTCTAGCAACGGTCTCACAGTTATTTTCCCTAAACATTTTTAGCAAATTATAACAGAAATGAACACCAATAATGCCACAAAATATGGGCAAATTCTTATCGAAGAAAGGACAAACTTAATTGAAGTTGCCCTATCCACTTTGAGGAAAGTAGTTAGATTCCTCTTAAACATACACGCAAGAAAACTGAATTTCACCAGGTGCACGGACCTCATTAAGCAAAGAAAATAAATCGGTATTTTAAAATTTTAGAAGATAAAACAGTGGTTTCCTGTCCCAGAACAACTGATCATGCTATTAAAGTATTATCCAAAAATCATTAAACATTTTTTCTAGAGGTCGGTGCTTCCTTTAAGTGATTTTAGACATAGGTCCATTAGGGAAAACCTACTTATTTTTAGGTATTCTATCATCCCTAGAAAAATTGCTCGACAATTTTGATTAACCTTGTATATAATTTTTGAGCACAATTGTCTTATCCTTGTGTTATTTGCAGTGAATGAACATGATATTATTAACACACAACCCAAAATTACAGAAGCAACATTGAAAAATTTATGAAAACGCTTGTATAACTTTCATAAAATGGAGAAATGGCTATTATTTAAATAGTTATAGATTAAAAGTCGTATTTGCTTGTAAAATAATATTTAATAAAAAATATATATATATCATTAGAATTCAGCTATATATAAAGCATTAACAACCATGTAATCACAATTTTTGAAATACTTTATTTTCAACCTTAGCTATCTTAATATACTCTTTTGTAACATGTTCCCTAAATTGTTCTAGACTATTTTCCAATTTGAAAATGTCCATTTTGTAGTTTTTATTTTCAGACAAACACTGTTTTAAAGTAATTAGCAGCTTTTCGTTTTTATTTAACACATCCTTCGATATTTTTTCAAATTGTTCTTTAATTTTCTCTTTAAGATTTGCATATTCTAAGTTCGACTTTTCAAAGGCATTTTTTGAATTAGTAAATATCTTTTTCTGATGGGCATGAGTTGTTTTTAATGAAGATAATTGAGACCATAGGTTGTTTATTTCTCTTTCCATATCTTGCAGTTCCCTTTCCATGCTCTTTTCTTTATTAACTAAGTCTGTATTAAAATTGTCTGGTAGTGCTTTTATACAGCTTCTAAAGTGTTCAAAAAGTCTGTTTTGATCAGAAAGTAAATCTTCCATGTTTACTTCTTCATTTATCAAAGATTCCTTCTCAATTTCTAGATTAGCAATTGTTTCCTTTAAAGCAATATACTCTTCATCAGTTATACTTTCTTTTAGAAGTTGTTTTTCGGTTTCCTCTAAATTTGCTATAGATCTCTTACATTCGTCAACGTTTCTTTTGCTACTTTCCAATTCTTTTTTTAGTTCCTGAAATAAGGATAATACTTGATTATTTCTAGAAAATATAATTTGCTATTGATTGTTCAGTCAAAAGTCAATTTTTTCAATATTTGAAGATTTATAATTTTACTGTAAATAAATTTAATAATTAATAAGTTCCATGATATGTACATATTATACTGTCCTAATAAGAGTGGGCGTATCTACAAAATGAATATTTTTAAAAGTATACATAATTACGTGTCCTTTTAGACTTCGTAAAATAAGTTTTGCAGTTTTGACTAACTTTTTATATCATTTGAAATGTTTTCTAATGCAAATAGGTCTTTCTAAATTTGTATCATAATAAAATAAAATGTAAGCTTATTAAATGTTAAATTCTATTAAAGTAATAAGAGCTGAAAAACGAAAATACTCTGAGCAGATGATTACAATAAAGGGAACTCCAATGAGATGTGAAAGACGCTGAAAAAAATAATTCCAAATGAAAATATAGGAACAAATAATATTCTAGAGCTTTAAATTAATGATAACGAAATTTATAATGATCCAACGCAAATCCCTGATATTTTAAACAAGTTTTATGTTAAAAGTATAGAGTTTATTACTGATAGTATTGACAGGACAGGCCTAGATTTTTTAAATTAATGATTCTATTGTAACAAAATTTGAAGATTTTCATTTATTGAATAATTTAGAGCTTAAAGACATAATATTTGATTTACCTAATAAAAATAGTTCTAATGAAGTTAATATGGTACTAATAAAAAGTATTTTGGAAATTTGCAAACTCCACTTTTAAATATGATTAATTAATCAATTATAACAGGTAAAGTGCCCATTGATATTAAAATAACAATAGTACCAGTGACAAAGGTGGCTAAGGCTATGAAAGCCTCTGAACTGCGTCCACTTAATATAATTTGTGCTGTGGGAAAATACTTGATAACGATTTTCCAATCAGGTTTTCGGAGCAAACATAACTGTGAAGCAACTATACAATGTGTGCTTGATGGGTGGAAATTAAACATACAAGATAAACATACTGCACTTGCAGTATTTTAAGATTTACAAAGGGCTTTTGAGATAGACATAGTTTAACTAGAAAAATATAGGTATTGATGGTGTGTCGGATTACCTAGATAAGACATCGCAAGTTAAAAGCAAATAAACACAATATCTGAACAAATAAATAATAATACCCTATACCCAACAGAACTGTGTTGGGACCGCTGCTGTTTCTAATTTATATCAATGATATTGTGGATTTTGTAAATTGTAACATTCATCTTCGCTGATGACACTCTAATTTATTGGGATAGCTTAAAATTTCATGACTGTTTTACAACTATTAATAATAATTTGGAATGTATATATAGCTATTGGAGAGCCAATTTTTAAAAAGTAAACATACAAAAACTAAATGGATGCTTATTGGATCTGGTACCGATATAAGAACAAATGAAGTATATATTGGCAAAGAGGTAATAACAGAGAATACAAATATCCGGGAGTAATTATAGATAGGAAATTGGGATTAAATAGGTGTTTGAAAAACAGTACGTAATAATTAGAAAAATGGACTGTTTTTCATGAAAGAGAATACATCAGCCCACAAAAGACATAAAAATCACATGCTTTGCTTGTGACATCTGCAAACAATTATATTGCATTGAATGTAGCAAATTAAGCCCCTCTGAAGTACGATGTATGCCCCTGCAGAAACGTAACCTGAAATTTCATTGTTAACAGCTACAAAAAATTTGAGCATGCAAAATTACACATATAATAAATCTAATATTTCTGACCGGCATTATACCTGAACAGTTTAAAATTTCAATAGTTGTACCTATATATAAAAGGAAATAAAAATAACATAGCTAATTACAGACCTATTAGTCTTATAAACACATTTGCTAAAATTTTTGAAAACTGCATTAAAGTACGTTTGTATGACTATCTACACAAAAATAACATTCTCGGTGAAAAGCAGTTTAAAACAGGGTTTAGCACTAACGATGCAATGTTTGAACTTGTTAACCGAATCAAACTTACTTTGAATAAGGGTGATAAATGTATTGCAGTGTTCTTGGATTTAGCAAAGGCATTTGATACAGTGATACAATACAACAAAATACCTCGGTATAATAATTGACCAACATTTGAAATGGAGTGAGCACATTCAATCATTAACAACCAAGGTTAGAAGATTTATTTTTAAATTTTATGAGTTAAGGAAATTTATGACTAGGAGTCTACTAATTACTTTTTACAATTCGTTGGTTGAATCTATATTCCGATATGGTTTAATAATATGGGGTGGTTTATACGATATAGCACTTCAACCTCTTAATGTAATCCAAAATCATATCGTCAAAATTATTTACAAAAAATCGACATTATAACCTACCTCTCTCTTATATAACAAACAAGTGCTTAATATAAGAACATTATATTATCATTGTTGTTGTACTTTTATTTATAGAAAGCCTGAACTGAGACATATTGCAAAGCACTTGCACAACACAAGATCCAGGTTAAATGAGAATCTGAGAACTCCAGCAGTTCAGCGAGATGCAAGTCAAAGATTTGTAGCTTGTGTTGCTCTCAAAATCTTTAAAACCTTACCTGTCAATGTGAGGAACAAAAAATTTAAAATTATTTCAGAAGAAATCAAAACCATTTTTGATTAAATGTCGCTCTTAAATTCACCCTATAGAATAACTATACATTGTTACAACGATGCCAAATATTTTTAAATAATTTGTGTTTTCTTCTCGTAATGCATAAATTTGTTCACTGGTTTGTTTTGTTCTGATTGTCAAGTCTTATTTGGATGTTTGTGAACGTTTTTAAATTAGCTAAATCTGCTTTCACAAATTCAGGATTCATGTTAAATAGTTAAAAACGATTCAGAAATAGAAATATAATACAGAATTGTATGAATTAGTTTCAAACTGACATGAAGTTTCTGATTTGGTTTATTAGGGAATATAATCATGTTGAAATTATATTAAATGCGCTGGGTACCGCCTAAATGCCATCAAGCGGTTTAGGTTTGTAAACAACTTTACTGCCTATTGAAGTAAAAAAAGAACTATTATAGGTATTATTTATTTAAAATACACATCGACAACTACAAAAATTTTAAAATATACTATCAGTAAATTTTAATTGATGCTACCCTTTTTTATTTTGTTGTAACGCCACTTAATCCATTGTCCAAAATTGTTAAAAAAAGAACAGGCATTTGGCAACAAAATTAAAATTTTCTGGTATACGTCACGGGATAAAGGGGACATAAAGTCTCTATTATTCTTCTTCTTCTTCTTCTTCTTCTTCTCCTCTAGTTACTATGGCTACAAAGGTAATGTGTACTCTTCTCGCCTATTGGTGTGTATAGGCATTTACATAGTGGAAAACACCAGGATAGTGAAAGGATGTGTAAGGAGTGCTGAAATATAAATTTAAACGTCTAAAGACTTTAGAAATGCTCGTTATAATGTTGTTTGGGTGTACTAGAAGCCAGCAGTACTGTTTTCAATCTGATGAGTGTTGTGATATGTCTGTGAGATGTGAATGGTATTTTGAAGTGCCATGGGATACTTGGTGGTTCTGGGGTTAATTTTGTGTATATTCTCCCTTTTTCTATCCTCTGTTCCTTGTACATGTTTACAAAATTTAACCATAATTATTTTTTATAGTTGTTTCAAATCATCAAGATTTGATTGTATGCTGCAGATGTTCCACTGCATGATTTTGATCGGTGTACTACATCTTGGATCTCCAGAGATCCTGGTAATGCAGTTCTGTGTTGAAGCATCTGGTTGGAGTTTCTTCCTGTGTTTGCTAGTTGATGTACCATTTAATTTCCTCATATACCTACATGACTGGGCCAATTTTATGTCTTTCCCACAGTGTTGTGCTTCTGTGATGATTCTTCTTACTGTTAGTGTATGTTTATCGCATCTTGCATCAATACATAGCTGTTATTTTCTGAATTGAACTTAGGGCGTCTGATATTTTTAGCTGTTCTGTTTTATTACTTGCTATTGTAAGAGCTTTTTTAATAGCTATTATTTCTGCTCTGCAGATAGGTCTATTGTCCTGAATTATTTCCGCTATGTTGTTTAGTGATGGACAATGTACCTCAATTCCACATTTCTGTGTTTGGGGATCTACTGAAGCGTCTGTAAATATCTGCGCAAATATCCTGCGAATTTCTCTTGCACTAGGGCCTGAAGTTCCTGGTTTGGATGATTGCTATTCTTGTCAATATTGCTATATATCCATTCTAGTTTCAAGACTTGTATTTCATATTTTTCTTCAAAAGATGGTAAGCTGTTACTTTGTTCTTGTTTTTCTAAGTATTGTAAAGCGAGATCAACACCTTCAATTAAGTCTGGGGGTCGCTTATTTCTCCAGTGGGGATATTCATCATTAAAGAAACTGTAGAAGTTTGTTAATTCTCTCAGAGTTGCTTCATTAGTTAAAGCCACCTCCTTCTGCTAGTAGAGCGTTGGTTGGTGTGGATTTCATACATCCTAATGCTATCCTGAGGGCTTGGTATTGTATCTGGTCTAGTTTGGTTAAGTTTACTTTAGAGGTGAAAAATATTGCTCGACATCCATACTCTAGATGTGGTCTAACAATACCTTTGTATATATTCAATAGGCATTTAGGGTCTGCACCCCTCCAAGTTCTTGTCAAGGCTTTCATAGTTATGCCTTTATTTGCTTTTTTACAGCCGCTATCTATATACCGTGTCCAGTTTAAGTGTTAGGTCGAATTCTAAACCAAGGTACTTATATGTGTTTCTCCATTCTATATTTGTTTCACCAATTTTGATGTTTCTATCTAGATTTCTAAGGTGTCGTTTGGAAAATATCACTGCTTTTGTTTTTTTTCTGCAGACCAGGAGAATCCTTGTTGGGTCAACGTTCACGTTTATTAAACAGTTTTCATTTCTGTCCATTGCAATTTATATATTTGTATGTGATGTTAGGATAGCTATATCATCTGCAATTGCAATATTTTTATTGTCTGAGTTTCCATATCCTTGATGCTAGACATATATATGTTAAATAAAATTGGACTTAATAGTAAACCTTTTAGAATTCCTTTAAGAGTTTGTTGTGGGCCAATGAGTTTACCTGTGGTTGGGGATCTGACATACACATTATGGTCCTCCAAAAATTTTAAAATAACTTTAATGAGTTTATGTTCTATTTCTAAAGCGTTAAGGTGATGTTAAGCTTATTTATTATTACATTTTTATATGCTGAAGAAATGTGCAAGAAAATGCATATTGATTTCTCTCAGACTGTAAATGATCTAAATACTTCTATTGCAAGTTGAACTACGTTGTCTGTGACGCCTCTTCCTTTACCATAGCCATTTTGTCTGCTACTGAACACTTGTTTGGTTTCCATTTGGTATTCTAAACGTGTTTGTATTAAATTTTCTAAGAGTTTGCCTATACATGAAGTGGGTACTAATGGTCTATAATTATTGTAATCAACATAACGTAAATCTACGCACATACTACAAAACGAAAAAGTATGTTATTGTGTTCAACTACGAATATATTTCATATCCATTTTAGGTAGTAAGAACACTTGTAACAAAATTAAATCTACAAATCACAGTTCATATTTTGGTCACCCCACTCCTATTATTTAAAATTTTTTTAAATAAGTGACAATTCTGTTAAACTAATTGTCAATATATATTTTAGTTATTGATATTAAATATACATTAAAATTTTTGTGCAGACTCGATAAATAATAGCATTTTTGTTTCTATTGTGTCCACATTTAAAAAAAAAAACATTTTAATTAAACTACATGATACTAATTTAATTACGAGTATTAAAACTAAAGTCCTGAAAGTTTCGGTGAAGATGAAGACAGAGCATCTGCCTTCCACGCGAAAAGTCCGGGATCGAATCTAGGCCGAGGACTAATTAATTTTTCATGTTTATTTTATAAATTAGTCAACTTCGTAAATTATTTTAAAATTAGTTATTTTGTCTAAATAACCTAAAATAATTTTTTAAATTTGTAGATTTTCGTTAGTGGGTCGTAGAAAAAATATACTGACCATATCGAGTAGATTGTTCATATCACAATCAGACGATTGAGTTCTCCGCCTACGACGTCGTGCTCAAACTTCGTCTTTGTGTGATATGGCTATCATATCCACCCTTGTTGAACAAACTACAATTTATTTGTTTTCTTGGTTTAAGTTTTACATCAGAAATAGGAATTAAATTAATTTACTTTTCAAGTTTTCTTGTAAAAATCGATATTACTTTCTCCAAGTACAAATTTAGTACCTACCTAAAATAAGTACTAATTATGTTATATCTTGTAATATTGTAATTCAAATTTCACATTACTATAAAGTTTTAAAATTTCCTACTTCGGTATGGTCAGATAAAAATTGAATATATTATATTAATAAAAACTGTCAAAGTATAACTTCTACAAATCTGTATTTCAAATAATAAGAATACATCTAAATATAACCAATATTGTTAAAACAAAAGCACACATTCTTTATAATTCCAAAATACCATAGAGTTCCCAGACCTCAGTCGAAGCATTCGTTTATCTAGGTATAAACCCTTTGCGCGAAGAGTAACACTTGCCAGAGACACGGGGTTACCACTTGATTTGCATCCACGAGCGTGACACAATTCTTTAACAGTTGAAGCCCTTGGTGTAAAATGGATCCAAGCCACAATTTGTCGTGAAGTGACTGTTTTAGCTGAAAACATTTGTTAACGAGGATTTTACTAGCCATATATAAATTATTTTACCTCTAATCCGAAAGATGTGCTATTTTTCGTAATATTTATATTTAAATAATTTTTTTAATTATATTTGAAAGATTTAAAACAAATTAAAAATGTAATTTCCCAAAACTTACTTAATATGGCATGTGACCAACCTTATTACGCCAAGGTTTTCAATTTTTTCAATAATAAAAAAATTGTTTAATCCGGGCCCGACTTTTCCCTTGAATCTAACAGAGATAGCACCATTCCGTCTTGCTTGGTTCTCGACCGCCAGATCAAAGACGCCGACACGGAGTTGTGGAGCTGTATTTTATAAGCTGTGGTATCAGTGTGGTGCTTAAAATCATAAATATTTTATAAGTGTAAATCAATTGGTAGACGAGTCTCTTTTGATTTGCAGACAAAACTATTTTTGTTTTTTTAGAGATGTGTAGGAAAATCCACAGTACACAAATGGCAAAGGAAAATGTAGAGACCTATAAAGTGACCCAAAGATGCTATAGAAGTAAGTATTACTGTAATGTTTGTGTCAAGGTTTTGAAATATTTCTATTTTACTGATATTTTTATCTCAATTCGTCAATTCTAACACTTATTATTAAAAGCACCAAAATGTAAATAATTTATAAATATTTCATAATACATATACATATCTTATATATCTTTTTTTTAGGAGAAAAGTACGTGAAGAACCTCAACAAATAAATTTAAAGTTTTAGTTTTTGTATGTATGTATTGTTTTATTTTTTTTTAATTTGCTTTATTTTGAAAATAAAATGTATTTTGTATTTAAGTATGGGTTTTATTTTCTAAACTATGGTACGGCATTACAAAAAAAAATTGAATATGCCATGAATATTCAAAATACCATAAATATAGGCATACATAGATATCCTCAGTAAATCCAGAGAATATGCTATACATATATTTTGGCAGATAAAAACATATCGTGGGCATATGTTTCATGGTGACCTTGAATCTTCCTGCAATCTTCCTGTCATATGCCATGGCGGATATGGCATATCCATGGAATATAGGAGTATGCAGTTGAGATATGCATTGAATATTCATGCAATATTTTTGTGCTGTCTGGGAGTAAATTTATTATTACTGGGACAGTGCCAAAAGCTGAAACTTGGAACACACTCTTTGGCAATATATCCAGTCGAAATCAGTAGGCACTCTTTGGCCTTCATTTTAGGTGGGTGCTCTTCAATGCCCTTGCTGGGTGTCCATGTGTGTGTATTCAGTCAGTATAGATGTTTGGTCCTGCGCTCTGCTGGAGTGTGTGCTGTGAATGCAGTGTGTTTGTGTTTATTATTGACTTTTAAAATGGGTGATTCCCAAGACAGTGCTGACAGTGACAGCCACGTAGCAGCAGTAATACATATAAAGAGAAAACCCCGACAAAAAAAGCTAAACGACTTTATTTTAATTTTAAGTTCAGTTTATTTATTTTTTCTGTTTGAAATTTGTGACATAGGTATTCTTTTTTTGTACCTAAAATAAAAACTGCGATTAACTATATACAAATTTTATCAGTTAAAAGATATCTTGAGTAAAAATATTTTGATTTTAGTATACAAAACATTAGTGGAATCACTTTTAAGATATGGAATTCTGGTTTGGGATACATTGTATCATAATTCATTAAAAGCCTTGTCTACAATCCAAAATTATGTACTGAAAATTATTTACAAAAAAATAGGCGATACTCAACCAGACTACTTTATGGAAGAGATATATGCAACATCAGAACGCTTTACTTTCGTACATTGGTAACATTTATGCATAAAAAAGAACATTTTAAAAATCATATCTCATATTGTGACTTGTAGCATAACAAATAAATTGATGAAAGTACCTAACTCCAATAAAAATGTACATCCAAGATTTGCTTACCATCTAGCCTCAAAGACTTACAATTACAAAAAATGTAAGATATCTAAGATATTTATAAAATTAAATGACAATTATTTATCTTTTATAAAAGTAATGGACTAATTTACTTTATTTTTAATTTGAAATTTATTTAATATAGTATAGAAAAGATATCAAACTTGTTGAATTAAAAAAAAAAAAAATACGTTCTGCACAAAACAAGTGTTAAATCACCTAGGTGCAATTCTATAGAAAATAAAAAAAACCTAATTATTTGTAAAAATACCTCAGATTATCTTTACCAAAATTAGGTACTGATTTCTTAAAAAAATAGTATTTCGATTAAAAGAATGAAAATGTACTGAATTGTTGTTCCTTCCCTTTATTTCTCCTGTCTGTCCGTCATATCTCTTTCAAAAACCTCGTAACCCTGCCCAAATATCTTCAGGATAAGTTGGTCTACAATACTAATATTCATCAACATAACACTAGAGGTAGGCTAGATTTCCATGTTCAACAATTTTCCAGAACATCAACGCAAAATAATGTGTTTGGTAAATAAAAAACAGCCTCACTTTGGGCTAAATTAAAAAGATTCTTACCTGAAATGTTATTTCTAGATTTGGCCTCTTTAACAGATATTCTTCTTTTTGTTCTTCTGCTTCTGTTTTTTCCTTTTTTACTTTTTCGATGTCTTCTATTAACTGACCCTTAAGCATGGCAGCTTCGTTTATTTCAATCAGCAATTGATCCTTTGCACTAGCTAGTGTAGACATACTGTCTTTCATTTCAAAAATATTTGTATTTATTTTTTCGACATCCACAGAAAAGCTTTCAATACACCTTAGGATGTGAAAGCAAACTTTTATTAAATTTTTTGTCCTTATAGGGTGGGGATCATAAATATCGGCCAGCATAAAATTTAAATGTATACTTTGAAAAATATCATTTATTTTAGTCATTTTTAAATAAATTACTTCTTCAGGGTCCAAATCAGTCCTTAAATTATCTTGACACCATCCAAGAGTAAAACGAATCTAAAAAATAATATCATATGAATTCAAAAAGTTATATTTTGAAGGGATTAACAATTTTTTCAGAATTATATAAAATAAGTAACAAATACTAAACCCATGATTAAATATTTTAATTCGATATGTGCTGAATTAGTGGCTTTTACTATTTTCAAAATCAGATATGTGCTCCATTCTGGAGTGTGTATCAAATAAAATCCATGAGATGTTTAAAATGCTTGAAATTTATCTAGTGAAATCAGTGCATAAAATAAACATAAAAAAGCATTGTATTTTAAAAACACTGATAATACTTAAAGCACTAAAGTTAAACTGAAAATTCTGAAAATCAATAAGTTTCTCGGCTGGAAGAAATTACCAAGTAATCGGAGCTTTCTTTTAGAGTGGTCAGAAATGTGGGGATAAGAAAATGTTCTCGTTGGCGCGAAGGTAATACCTACTGAAGTCCCAGGTGGGGGGGGGGGGGGGGGGGGGATCAGTATTATATTAACAGGTTGACTGCCATATGTAATTTTCAAAAACTTCCTATAGTGCCAAGTACACACGCCCGCCCGGCCGCCGTTTTTTTATTAAGTGGCATTGATATATTTGTATGCCACAAGAGTTGTATACTGTGGTGAAAGCCAATCTAATTACGACCTCTGGCAAAATAAATATGAATATTTGATGAGTACTGAGTGGTGGTCAGTGGCAGAGCTGGGACAAATACTCAAAGAATAGATTCGAAAGAATGATTTGAATCACTGATCTCATTTCCGAATCCTTGTTACTTAAAAATTGAAAAAATTCTGTCCTAGGGGGTATTAGAACGCACCTTTCAGTCCATCACCAATCGTTAAGATGAATATAAGATTTCGAATTCAACCTAGTTAAGCTATTGCATAGCTTTTATCGCGAGCTTTGAGCGGCGACCGAATCAAGAAATTTCGTAACACCGTAACGAAAATAAACCTAACACCCCCCACTCCGACCGGCACAGCAGTTTGACTTTAAAGCCATGGAATATTATATTCGACCCTATTCGTATTAGTATGAAGCGAAGTTAAATATACGTCTGCGGACTGGAACATTTGTGCAATACAAGAACTAGAAGAGCTTCTAATAAATTGGTATCACAAATGTTCCCGACAATTGAAAGTTTAGGTAATTCTAAAAATACTAGTAATTTAGGCAGACACTTTTGAGAGGGTTTAATTGCCAGCCAACATAAAAATAAATCTTATTTACTATAGAAAAAGATTTTAAATTCATATTTCGAAGTATAATAAAAAATGCATTTATTTAGATGACTTATGTTTAAACTTTTAATCTCTCAAGATTAAAAATTAATACAATTAAGTAATAATGATACTTTTATAGTTTTTAAATCATATATTTATGTGATTCCATTAAATTATAATATAGGTATCATTTGACATGATAAAATTTTTCGTAAATATTTGTAATAAATTGTTATATATTATTACAAGCAATTCCAAACATCTATCAATATGTCCTCGGTGACCCAGAGCGTACAGTGGTCGTAGTGTGGATAACAAGTTGGTGGTTCGAGCCCCGAAAATTTTAGTTTTTTTTTTCTTAAAAAAAAAAGGAAAAATATTATTGTTTTATTATTTTACAGTCTTGATAATTTAAAATATTTAGTTTTTAAAAAGTATATACTTATTCAATGCATAGTGGCGCATAACGAGGTTCTTTCAAGTTCAGCTAATTTTAAAAATGCAAGCTACCAGTGGAGACTTCGTTTATTTAAATTCAAAAAAATAGGAATAGTATATTACATTACAAGTGTGTATATACCCCAAAAACATGGAAAAACATTGTACTTTACTAAATGGCACCTGTGCCAATCCCAATCCTGAGCAAAGTAGCTTAAAAAATTATTTTATATTAAAAAATCACATAAGGTATGACAGCGCTAATTTTATAAAATTCAAATATGTCTTGATATATATCGTAAAAGGGAAACATTTTCTTCCTCTTAACATCGCACAAAAACATCTATCCACGATTAGTAGGTAAAAATTATTAAAAATATGAATCAATTTTTGCTGATTTAAAAATTTATTTGTATGCCTATTGTTGTGATACATTTTTACAGGTTGCCATAGAAATGACAAAAAAACTACTGTGATTATGGTTTAAAATAATTGTCTGACAAGAGTTTATAATTATTCTTGACTATCTCTGCAAATGGTTTATACAATGCCATCCTTCTTCCTTTCACACATAAACATGGTTTAAAAGGTAGGTAAAAATATTAATAATTCTGGTTTAAAAGCTAGGTTCACAATGAATTAGGATTTTAATTTTCAGGGAAAATACAATTGTTGCTGTCATGTCTTTTATCTCGGGCTTTGAGTGCGGCGACCGAATCAAGAAATTTCGTAACGACCGTAACGAAAAAAAACCTAACACCCCCTACTCCGACCGGCACAGCGGTGCGGCGTTAAACAATATTAACTTCTCATTTATTCAATAAAAGAAAATCGAAAAATCGATAAATCGAAAAATCGTAAAATCCAAAAATTGAAAAATCCAAAAACAGAAACAAAATTTCCGTAACGAAAATAAACCTAATACCCTTCACTCCGACCGGCTCAGCGGTGAGGCGTTGAAAGCCGTGCATCGTTTAACGTCGTTACAGTTCGGCAGACTTCGGCACCGTGTTTTTGTGCGTGCGAATAGACGTATGCGTGTAGACTAGCTGCTAACTGATTCTATCTCTTTTAGACACAATTTCGGAAAAATTGAATTTGAAAATGAATAATGATCCACAAGAATCCACAACAAAATATGGGACCACCATTGACGCGGTATTTTCCTATTTAGAGGATATCAAGTCTTAAACTTATGTTTCTTATTTCAGTTACCATAAACCTATAGTTTCAATGATAAAAATTCCTGAATAACCTACATGTATTGTAAGATAATAAAAATATTTATTCAATAAAAGAAAAAAATTGTTTTCTTATCGGTCACCACGCTCAAAAAGTGTAACTTGAATTAATGTCAAAGAAAAAACTTTAATTAATATCAAAGAAAAAAAATACTGCATAAATAAAATAAATAAATAATTATAACTGCATAAGTTGATACAAAATGCTATGCAATAGCTTTACCGCGGCAGTCTCCGAGTGCCACAAGTATTTTTTTATAGAAAATTTTTAATTCTTCAACAAACTGAACAGCATCGTCTGGGAAAAACCTGCGTCGGCATTTTTAATTAACTAAAATAATTAGAAAAAATCACGTCATCGACAGGATTCTGACCGGGTACCCATGGATCCGAAAGTCCAGACCCTAACCATTGAGCCAACCACCCCCTGTGAATGTTTGCCATTATTTGTCGATTCTTCACCAGAATCGCTCGATTTAAATTTGATTTTATCTTAATAACCTTAAAAGTATATTGACTTTTAGTTTGAGAATGGTCAATATAATTTAAAATAAAATTAGCCAGCTGGACACTAAATAATGAACTGTGATTTCATAAAATCGATATAATTACACATAAAATATGTTAACTTTTCAATCCTGACTCGAACCTAATAAAAATATGAAAAAAATGTTTATTATATATGAAAATGTATATTGAGGGAAATAGAGTACTAAAGCTTACAAGGACTAAAACTAATTATTATAGCTGTACACTTAAAGTAAGCTCCATTTTATTAGATAACAGTAAATAACAGTAATAATGAAGGGGTGGGTGACTCAGTGGTAGAGTCTCTGCCTGTGGATCCAAGGGTCCCAGGTTCCAATCCCACCATTGGCTGGGATTTTTTTATTTAATTTAATTATTTAAAATTAATTCTGAAGCCTTGGTAGGATTCCCCACTCGACCATTCACTGTTGGGTTCTAATTAACAGTGCTGTTCCTAAAGTGGCGTTGGGAAACGGTAACAAAGCCTATACAGAACACTAAGCTAATGGCCTTAGTAGTCGATGCTGATGACACCAAATTAAAAAAAAAAACCATAATAATATAAGAAATATCAAATGAATTTTTTTCCTATGAATACAAAAAATATTAATAGTTTATTTCACTTCTAAGTATATGGGCATACATATTGATAGCAATATGGGTTGGGATAGCCAAATATCTAATGTTTGTAAAAAATTAAACAGCGCATACTATGCAATACTAAAATTAAAATCAATATTTACCCAAGAGCAACTGCTTAATGTCTACTATGCTTTAGCATATTCTCATATATCATACAACATTATTCTTTGGGGTGATGCAGTCAATGCATCTAAAGTATTTATCTTACAGAAAAGAATAATCCGGCTTATTTTTAATCTAGAATTAATGCAAACTTGTAAATATAACTTCAAAAAATTTAAAATATTAACATTTCCCTGTATTTACATTTATAAAACGTTGCTATATGCTAAACGCAACATACACCAATTTTTACAAAATTCAAATTATCATGAATACTCAACTAGGAATGCAAATTTATTCAGAACACCAAGACATTCAACAGCATTATTTGAGAAATCGCCTGAATTTGTTGGAATTAAATTTTTTAATCAACTCCCTGATTTCATTAAATCTGAAAAGAAATATGAACCTTTTAAAAGAAATATTTTTTATTCATATATATTATGACTTATCCTATATCATGTAACATGATCCTAAAGGACAAATAAACTATTATTATTATTATTATTATGTCTAACCTAGAAAATGCATGCAGTAATATTTTTATATCCAGCTTTCTCGAAAACCATTACTTCATTCAATTTGCAACAAGAGTACTTTTTTGTGTAAAAAGAACGTAGTTTTGGAAAATGTATTCAGGTTCCAGATTAACTTAATAAAAATAACCCAAATCCTTACAAAAACTACCGATTTTGATTTGACTATTAATTTTATTGACTTAGATTTAGTGGTAAAATCTATACCAGTTTTGAAATTTTGGTATTATCTATTTTTTTAATGCCCCAAATAAAGCTTTCACAATTATTACAATCTGATCATTAAGAACAATAATTAGCAATGTTATTCTAACCTAAGAGATGAAAAACTTCATAAACCAAGATTCTACTCACTGGTGTCTATTTTTGTCTCGATTTTTGAAAAAAAAAAAAAAAAAAAACTTCAAAATTTTGATTTCTAAGGCTTATCTATTATCATTATACATTTTCAGAAACATGTTCACCTATAAACATTTGACTATGACCTCTTGGAATATTTTACCAATTTTCGATGATACAAATACATCACTTAATTAAAAAGCATGTTTTGTTTGTATAAGAAGGGATTTTAATTGAAGACGTAAGTGGATGAATGACCTATTATGATAAAATCATACTTTAAGATATATTTGAGATTAATTTTTCTGGTAACGTCTTTATATCAAATAATATAACAAGAATAGTTAGAATAAATTTTAGGTACATACTTAGGCCTTTTATTTATGTAGAAACATCAATGTAAAAATAAATTTAAATGAGCACTTTATCCACTTGTCTTAAATTATGAAATTGTAGTCTCTCTCAATAAAACAGCTTCAACACTAAGTAAATTAGTTTGTTGAATGTAGCCCTGTTAATATTATTAGCTTAGAGAATGATCGTTCACAAGCAACTAGTGCACATGATAAAGTTAATAAGTATTTTTAAACAACTTAGACAACCAGGCATTATGAGTTCTTTGTATTTGATTTTTCTCGAGAGCCCACAGCTGGGATGAGGGCCTACCAGTCTTTGGATTAGTAGACCGGCGCCCAATCACACTGATTGGAAGGCTCGTTCTCTTGCTGCATTAGCGACAAACGGGGCACAATAGAGCCATGGAGGAAGGATTATTATAGAGCTTTTAGGTCGCAGTGAATTAAAACTCCATACATAGCTTTTGATTCTGAGACCGCCTCTTCGATGTAGATAACTCTCTTATCTCCAATAAAAGTCTTAATTAGTTTTTAATACTTTATGAACTATGTAAGAATCGGAAGGAAGTCCACGGGACTATACTTAAGTATATTTTTTATTTTCCTGTAAGGCTAAATAATTATTACTTACCCTTTCTTCTACAGCCGCTATAAAATGACTATAGAATTGCATTACAAATTCTGGAGTAGGCTTTTGAATAATTTCTTTTGTTACTTGGATATTTGGCCAAAGGCTTTTAATCTGCTCTATCAGTTTATCCATATTTTTAAACAATCAACAGAAAAGCATGAATGAAGTTCGAGACCACTCAATTTTATTCTTGGAGGAAATACACAGAACACGAGGAAATATTTGAACTGATTTTAATTTGAAATTCAAATTGACAATTGACGAATTGTCCTGACCGTTCTTCGTTAGTATCTATGGCCTCTTGCCTGTAGGCATATTCGATCAGGGTTGCAGACGGAAAGATGTGAAATATTTACACGATCAAACAACTTGTGAAGTTCGATTACACGATCAAACGAACTTGTGAAGGGATATATCAAGCTAGCGGGCACTCTCTAGCGGCACCATACAAGGTGGGTTTTTTGTAGCTTTTTGTTACGCTATTTGCGAATTTGTAGCTTTGCCCAGGTCCGAAAAAACAGCGGATCCGCTAGCTTGAATTTCCATAAATTCCATAGTAACGGCACAGATTCAGACCCAGCTGGTTTTTCGTAACTTTTTTGTAGCTTTTTTGTTACGCTAGTCTCCCTTTTGTAGCTTGTACTGAACCTGAGAAAAGCGCGGATCCGCTAGCTTAGCGGATATTTGTAGCGGCACCAGCTCGGACCAGGCTCATTTTTTGTAACTTTTTTGTAGCTTTTTTGTTACGCCTGTCTCCATTTCGTTGCGAGGCCTGAACGTGAGTAATAATAATCGTTTCTCCATGAGCGTGAGAGAAAAGTGCGTTAATTTAAAATCAAGTTTCGGCCTCTACAAGTAATATGTGCAACTCGATAGTGTGGCTATCTGTTGATAGATGGCACCAGTATTGCATTTCACGAATTATGGCCATCTTCCATCCAATATATTTGTGAGAAATTTAGATATAATCTCAAAATCGGACATTTGTTTTTAAATGTTTTTTAGCGTTGTTTATGTATTTATACGTTTGTTGATTCAAGAATATTCTTACATCTTTTTTGAATGATTTCCTTAACCAATCGTTTTGCAGTATTTATGGACCAGTGTTTAATTCTGTCGGATCACAACTATACAGTGTGTTCCATCTCAGACGAGCCACCCCGTATATATTCTTATCCCATAGTAATTGGAAAAATTTCCCGAAACACGTCGGATGATTTTCTTTGGGGGACATCTTTTGAAATATATTTGAGGCTTGAACCAGCAACCCCCTAGTATGAGGGGGCGCTTCAACCCCTCAAAATGGAATAGGGAAGAAGGGTTGAGTGATACATCATTTGTAAGGTCTTGAAAGCCTCTTTACAACGGTGTATAAAAAAAATCACATTCTTAAAAAAAATTAATTGTTTTATCACATGAAATGATCGAAGAAACGTGATAAACACCTTCTATAAGAACAAAAAATGAAGGCAAGATAAGAAAATGTTTTGATTTTTTTCTATTTATTAGTTCGAGAGAATTTATTATTGCATGGAAATCAATGGAAGACAAATTGAACATTTCATTTAAAAACGCAGTCTTGCTTTTTTTGATTGTAAGCATGATAAAACAATTGATTTTTTTAAGAATGTGATTTTGTTCATACACCGTTGTAAAGAGGCTTCCAGGACCTTACAAATGAAGTATCACCCAACCCCTCTTCCCTATTTAATTTTGAGGGGTTGAAGCGCCCCCTTATAGGGGGTTGCTCGTTCAAGCCTCAAATATACGTCAAAAGATGTCCCCCAAAGAAAATCATCAGATGTGTTTCGGGAAATTTTTCCAATTACTATGGGATAAGAACTATACGGGGTGGCTCGTCTGAGATGGAACACCCTGTATATAGTGAGAATAGGTAATTGCGCTTGGTAGGTGTGAAGTTAGCAGTAAAAATAACCGAAAACACCCGATCGGGAAAATAGTGGCGTCCGGCATACAACTATTTTAATAATCTTGTCAATATGTATTTTACATTTTACATTAATATCGGACAAATAATTAATATACATACCGTTGAAATTGTCCGATTTTGAGATTATATCTAAATTTCTCAAAAATATATTGGATGGAAGATGGCCATAATTCGTGACATGCAATACTGGTGCCATCTATCAACAGATAGTCACACTATCGAGTTGCACATATTACTTGTAGAGGCCGAAACTTGATTTTAAATTAACGCACTTTTCTCTCACGCTCATGGAGAAACGATTATTACTCACGTTCAGGGTATGGTCTGTGCGTTCAGGTCTCACAACGAAATGGAGACAGGCGTAACAAAAAAACTACAAAACAGTTACAAAAAATGAGCCTGGTCCGAGCTGGTGCCGCTACAAATATCCGCTAAGCTAGCGGATCCGCGCTTTTCTCAGGTTCAGTACAAGCTACAAAAGGAAGACTAGCGTAACAAAAAAGCTACAAAAAAGTTACGGAAAACCAGCTGGGTCTGAATCTGTGCCGCTACTATGGAATTCAAGCTAGCGGATCCGCTGTTTTTTCGGATCTGGGCAAAGCTACAAATTCACAAATAGCGTAACAAAAAAGCTACAAAAAACCCACCAGGTCTTGTATGGTGCCGCCACAGAGTACCCGCTAGCTTGATATAGCCTATAATGCCTGGCATTTTAAATGATACTCTTCGCAGTTTAACCATGGAGGTAACCCCCATTTTTAAGCAGATTGTTTTTACAATCAATAGGTCCCATCTCCTTATAGACTTTGATTTTTACTAAAAATTTCATGTTGATATCGCTTTTCATTTTTGTTTTTTTTTTAATTTCAACCCCCCTTAAATCCCCCATATTTAATCAGATTTTTTTAATAATTTTATTATTGCAACATTTATATAAAATTTAAATAATTTAATAATAAGCTTAAGATAAAAGAAAACACAGGATGTATATTAATTTTTTATAACCTGTACCTGAATGTAAACAAATAGTTTGACATAAATTGTCGATGTCGACCTTGACCTTCCTTCTTCTCTTTCATGAATCTAATTGTAATTGTTCAATTTCCAAATTAATTCTTCTTTGTTAAAATCTACATTCACTTTCATTTATTCAAATTTAAGTTCAAGGCCAAGGTCATTTGGTCCTAAAATATGGTAACCTTACTTTTGTTAGCTGTTTTGGCATAGCTTATTTAGTTTCTCATAGAGCCTAAAATAAAATATATATTAGATAAATAACGTAATTTTATTGTATATAGTATAATAAGATTAAGGTACCTATATTTTCAATATTCGTACTTACCTTGTGAACGATTGATACCAAACGGGCAACGAAGTCATTTTAATATTATAATGCATTTGTTGGATTTGTTCCACTTTGCTAATTAGACGACTGACCAGTTGATTGAGTATTATTGTTTATCTTTTTACGACCCTATCTCTCCGATTATTGTAAATAAAATTAATTGAGTTAGTCACCCTTATCTCAAGTGAGAAGAGCTGCATTACAATCCCAAACCTTGGGGCAGGTTTTTAACATTAAACAAAGAAAAGCCAAACGCATGTAACTATACATGCGGGAGCCACTGCCAAAGCTACGAAGGACCAGTCTTTTCACCTCTGAGCAAAGTTGAAAGTAACTACTTGCAAATAAACTATAGGGCTATTGTTTGTTAATCTGTCAAGTAAATAACCTACATGTAACTTTACGTAGAGGTGAAAACATCGGACCTAAGTCTAAAAGACCAAGCTAGACGACATACTCTAAAAAATCTGAAAAGGTCGCGTGGACAAGGACAAATATTGTCCAACTCCTTTAAATCTAATCTAATCTAATTGGTCAATTAAAGTGACCTCGAGAATTCTATGCATGCAAGAGTTGGCTTTTAAAATTTATGTGTGCCAGTATTAGCATTAAAATGTTTTATGTTTAAATTCAAATTGTTTAAATACAAATATTTTTCTGTGCTCTGATTCAAATTTATTATGTTGAGGGATCTCTTTAACAATGTAATTCATCGTGCGCTTTGCCCCACTGAACTGTAGTGGACACACCCTGGTAAGAAGTATTTTTATTATTGAATTTTGTAAATATTTTCAAATAATACGTATTACTTATAATACGTTTGTATAGCGATCAACTGCTTTAACGATTTTCCCGTTGTTTTGTAAGGACGATAAAATTAAAAATAAAATGAATGCTATGGATGTTTAAAAATATTTACAATAAAAATTATTTATTTATGAAATAATAAAATACAAGTTAATAGTCCAAGGCACATATTAATGCCACTCCTCTTTTAATCCAGTGTCGCTGGGGTTGTTCACTTGGTATTTCTACAGTTAAAACATAATTGGTGGAATGTCCGGTAGTTGATAGTGTTCCCGCCCTTGTTAGCGTTTTGTAAATGGGACATTGGTATATACCACTGGAAGCAGGTACATGATTTTCTTCGGGTACAAGCCAAATCACAGGCATATCTGAAAAGATTATTAGCTGGTAAACGTTCTTTTCTTAAAGATCTTTACTCAGCTCCAAAATTCGTTTTTTAAAGTGGATAACCAAAATCATGAAATTCTTGATTTTACCATAAAGCATAGAATAATAATAAAAATAATACTCTCCCTAATTAATAATAATCCTATGTCCTTCTGGTTCTTACACCTTATATTATTTAATTTTCTAGTTTCGGCTTTCTTGGGTTGTACCTAGGTGTTTAAAGTAAAACTGTAGGTTTTTTTTTAAATGGTGAATTTGTAAAGCTTTTGGCTTCTGTATGTGCCTTCCTCAATACTTTTATTTTTTAATTATGCACAATTTATGCATTTTTTTATATACAATTATAGCGGTTTAAAAAATGTCATTTTAAACTTCGTTTAACACAACGGTGGAATCGGTTCTTATTGTAATACAAAAAATACCTTGACCCCCATTTTCAATCAGATTTTTTTTTCAGAAACAATAGGCTTCATCCTCTCATAAAGCTTGATTTTCCTGAAGATTTCAATTTGATATTATTTTTTGTTTCTTAGTCACAATTTTTTCAATATTTCCACCCCTATTTTTATTTAATTTTTTTTTTACTAAAAAAATCAAATTGATATTATTATTTATTATTGAGTTGGGATTTTTTTATAATATTTCAACCCCCCCTCAATCCTCCATTTTTATTTATATTTTTTTCAAAACTAATAGGCTTAGTTCCCTTATAGGGCTTACGGACGGACGGAACCAATGCATAATATTCTTCACATACAAATTCAACATTTAACAAAAAAACCTGTAGTTTTATTTTAAACACCTACAACCCAAGAAAACCGAAACCAGAAAAATCATAAAAACTCATAACACCTAAATTATGAATTAAGCACGATAAAGAATGATTCAGCAACAAGAACATTGTTTTAATGGTTACCTACGTGTAAAGATATAAAACGTGATCGTCAATTTAGAGCAGCGTTTCTCAACCTTTCAGTATTCGGGGCCTAATTTTCAATAACAATTTTCATGGCGCCCTCCTACCTTTCTTTTTCATACAATAATAAAATACGACGTATATTATGCGTGAAAATTTTTGACTCTAATCTCTTTAGTGTAGCGTATTGTTAGTGCCCTAGAATCCAGACTCTAGGCATAGACTCCTAATATAGAACTTAATTACAGACCTTCAAAATTACCGAGAATAGGTAAATTTATTGCAATATGGCAATGTCGCTCCGCTATATCTCATATAGGTAAAGTTTCTCATCTGCTATTTGTCATTTACGACGGATATCCAATATTCTCGCGGCTTGCCATCGCTTTGAGAAGTTTCGACCGTGGTTTCGATTTTGAAATATTATGGAAGATCTACTCGACAGCAAAGTAAGCGTGTAGAAATGCTGCGGCTGTTAGAAGTTCCGGTCAGTTTTAGTCGAATCGCGGTGCCAAATTTTTTAAATTTTGTGTAACTGTACCGTATTTCCGTATAAGATATTTACGTAAATTTTACGAGAGTAAATTTATACAGAACTATGGATAGATTTTTAACTGGACGTAAGCGAGTATTAGATAATAGTGAAGCATCAACAAGTGCACAGTCGACCATGGTTTTGAAGATAAAATCAAGAAAATACCTAAATTTTGGATTTATCACTACTTAAATAAATGAAGAAGCGTGCGTCATTTGATTAAAAACTTTGTGTTAGCTCTTAATTTATATTTTTAAATTTGCGTGCCGCGCCACTGACCAACGAGCGCTGTGAATGTTTTGGTCCAGGGGCCCAATTCCTGACGCCTTCGTTAACTTATCGCATGCGATAACGTATGCGACTTGATGAAAGTGTATTCTTGAACTGGCGGCATTCGTCAAATTTATTAACGTATGCGCTAAGAAATGATGATTTTCAAAGAGCGCTCATGACCGTTCGACAACCACTTTGTCGCATTCGTTTAGGTGAAAGTAAGGTTATAATTGTCAATCCTGCTTTATCATATGTGATTCGTTTTTCTATAATATTGGTTTTATTTTGTGATTTATTGGGAAATATTTATTTTTAATTTGACTTTTTTGAACATTTTATTAGTTATTAAAATATAAAAATTAAACTTTTTGTACCGTGAACCCTTTTATTGGACGTTTAGTTGCCAGTTTATTTTGGTATATTTTATTTAGTATGGATGATATAGAAGACATAGGAGTTTTACAGGCACTAAACAATGTTATAAATTCTACTAAAGTTTCACGCTGTTTTTCCGTTATTCGTGAACCACGCTGTTCCATTTTTAATATTCTAAATCTAAGCCACTCCAATTCTTAAGTAAAAAATACAAATAATCATAGTAAAAACATCTAAAAACCAGAAATTATTAGACATCTGCAATCCATTTAATTTTATAATTTTTGGCAATTTTGACATATGTCAATGCAATTATCTCATATTCAGTGATACCATCTTTGGTATTCTCTATCCTCATTGGTTAAGACTATGCAATAATCAAAGACTCTTCGTTAACACGTTCGACTTGATTCGCGATTATCGCATGGTGTTCAGGAATACTAAATTGCTGTCGTATGCGTTAACGACCATGCGTTACTTAGCGCATGCGGCAGTTAACGCATGTTTCGAGAATTGGGCCCCAGCAGACATGCTAAGTAAGCAGTAGTATGAGTTGGCCATAAGCGGCAATCGCCGGTTGTATTCTGACAATAAAATAAGTTTAATTGAATTATCGTGTTTAAATATGATTGAAAATGAGTCTGAGTGATCTAATTTCGATAAACATATAAATAAACTTTTGGCTGCAGACAGCATGAAACCTAATAAACTTTGAATTTGAATTAAAATTAAAGTCATATGAAGAGCAAACATTCTTCAAAATAACTTTTTCTGTGAACAAAAAGCTCTATTTGCCTCTTAAAAAGTTTCATATAAAATAGCCAGATGTAAAAAGGCTCACACTATTGGTTAAGACCTTATTCTGCCAGCTGCGATGGAAATTGTAGAAACTATGTTTGAAGATAATTTTGCCAAACAATTGCAATACATACCTCTTTCAAATGATACTGTTGCCCGTCGAATTGATGATATAGCCGAAGATGTACAGCATTAGCTTTTTGAAAAGTTGCGTGACAAATTGTTTTCGATTCAGTTTGACGAGGTAACAGAAAGCAATAAAGACGCTCATTTAATTGCCTATGTCCGATTTTGTGATGGTATATCGGCAGTAGAAGAACTAATTTTCTGCAAAACTATAGAACTCAAAGCAGCAGCACTCGCTTTGTTTGATATTTTAAATGATTTAATGAGGCAAACATAGAGTGGAACAATTGCGTTGGAATATGCACCGATGGTGTTCGTATAATGTTTGGAAGATTCCAAAGTGAACAAGCACTTGTGAAACAAAAATCTCCGGAATGGGTCCATCCACAGAGAAGCTCTGGCTTCCAAAGAAATGAGTCTTGGTTACAACATTGAGCTAACGACGGTTGTAACTATAGTAAATTATATAAAAATGAAACCCCTAAAATCAAGAATTTTTGATGCACTTTGCAAAGATATGGGTGCAGAACATTCGACGTTGCTATTTTATTGCGAGGCCAGATGGTTTATCGCGTGGGAAATTTTTACAACTAGTTTATGAGTCAAGAGAGGAAATTGCCACTTTTCTAGACAAGGAAGCCGAAAAGTTTCGAGATGCTTAATTTGTGATGAAATTGAGTTGCTAGGTCGACATATGTTTTTTAACAGTAATAAAGTTAATGCTTTTTGTAGAAAGTTGGAGCATAAATGTGAAACAAAAAAACTAGAAATGTTTGAATATATGAATCAGTGTGTCGAATCATACAAGGAAGAAGAAAGAACAGTATGTGAAAGTTGTTATTGTAACAGTAGAACGTCATGTCGGTACAGAATTTTAAAAAGTATTTTCTTGCTGACGACAAATTGGTAGCAAGTTACGAGTGGGTAAGAGATACATTTCGAACTGCTCCCGAAGATCTCTCAACTGCAGAAGAAAAAAATCGTCATAGACTTTACTGCAAGCGGCGAAATCAAGAGAGAATTTAGCAATAAATCTCTCTTTAAATTTTGGGCGGGAGTGGATGATGCCTTTTCTCCACTGAAAACAAGAGTATTTCGTATATTATTGCTATTTTCAACATTCTACCTTTGCGGAGCCGAATTTTCTGCGGTGGCTGCTTTAAAGACAAAATATAGGTATCGACTGAATATAGACAAAGAATTGATAGTGGCTATTTGTAATATAAAACCGTTTTTTGAAAAACTTCACTGTGCGAGACAGGCCCAAGGGAGTCACTAATAATTAATAAAGCTACTTTTAATTTAGTACTGATGTGTTTATTATTAGTTTCATTTGGCATTTGACAGTACCTACTGATACAATTATATTTATAATAATTAAATATTATATTAGTTTAAACGTGTACTACTTATTTTTTTGTAATGTTATAATGAATATCATTTTGCTTTTCGTTCTGTGAATTAATTTATTTTAATAGTAATTATCTTTTTTTTTTTTCATTAAGATGTGCTGGCGCTCCCCATGTAGAGTTAGGGCGCCCCCTAGGGGGTGCGCCTCACAGGTTGGGAAACGCTGATTTGGAGAAATAGTTGGACGATGGTGTGACTTTGTAAAATTAAAATTAATGAGGTTAGGTTATCTCAAATCATTGACAATTATTCGTTAATGTATTTCAGGAAAACTTTCAAGAAATTAATAGATAATAGAAAAAGATATGCAAAGAATGTTAGTTTATCAAGATTTAAATAATTAAATAATAACTGTTTGTGAAATATAGCCCAACTCTATTGTACATACAATATAATCACGTTTCTATTTTTACATGTGGGTAAATTTAAAGATGTGAATTAGGCTATAGGTTTTGGATACTTTAAAAACGACAATAGTGGTAGTAAATCTAAAAGAAATAGCAAATAAAAATACAGCGATAACATATTGGTGGCAAGTACTAAATAATGAAGTATCAACCTTCGAATTTCTATGTAATTACCAACAAATGAATTTCGTTGCTTTCAATTCTAGAAATAGTTACTTTTTAATGAATTATTTTATTCTACCTGTATATAATTCTTTCGGCTTGGATTCGTCAAGTAACCTTATTTCGGGATTCCAGCGACAACCTTCTACAAAAAGACCATAAATGCAGCACCCGTCAGCTGGTTTTTCTTCAGGGAATTCATCCAAAACCTGTAAAATATTATATTGGGATACGTTTGACAAATACGAAGTAATGTCCCAACGAATTAAAAATTGCACCCTTTTACAACTGCAATTTTGGAATAATATTTTACCTCGAAACAAAAACTGATTGTATCAATGGAGAGAATATTTCTTCGTGCAAAATTTTGCAGAGTGCCTGTTAGAAAAGCTTGTGGAAAATAGAATCCAGATATCCAGAATGCTGGTGGTATGCCTTCGTCCACCCATGTATCCAAAAACTTGCATCGAGCTTTCAGATCTGTAACCCAGGCACCTTAAACAGTTTATTTGTTAAAAATACAGTTTTTAACTTGGAAGCTTTTCTGTAGCTTAGTGACAAATAACTCTTTCAGGTACCCACACTGTATAGTTTGCCTTATTTTAATTTGTCCACTTTTCATTATTTCGGAATTTTAGAGTAATACATATTTAAAAAGGAAAATAATTTTAAACTCAAAATGTGACCAAGATGTAAACTGAAGAAAAATAAGAATCCCAAAGGCATGTATCAAAAAATTACGAGCTACCGTTTCCCTTCAGATAACAACTACTTATTTGGCTAGTACCACAATAGGCATTGGATTATATCCAAAGAAAAACAGCAGAAATAAAAAATAATTTTCAACACTCCAGATCTGTCGTCCTTATTAGGACTTGTCAGCAAGAAATATGTAGATATTCTCACTTCCAATTTCTAATAAAAGCAGGTGGCGTGATTTTTACGTATACCTTGATGATGGTAAGGTGAAAAAAAAAAAAAGAAAGTAGCCCATCTACGTACCCTTAGTAAGCAAAATCAAAGTTCTATTATTTTTTGACAATAAAGTTCAATTCGCACAATAGGGAACGTCAATTTTACGTAACAGCATAGTGCATGGTACGTGACGTCAATTTTGCTGTCTATTCGCACTATAGGGAACGTCAACGCTACTCTAACAGAAATTTAATAAAATAACATCAGTAATGACTGTATTAATTTTGGAAAAAATGAAGAAACAAGCTAAAAGAACCGTCGCATCGTGAAGCGGTAGGAAACTCCCCACCTAAACCCGAAGTCGGTGGCAATTAAAATTATAAAACAATAATTTACAAATAATTTTTTTGTTTTCGCATTTATATCTGATGTGTTTCAACACATGACTTTTCACTAAATTTAAATCCTAGTCAAAACAAAAAATAAAAATAATTTGTACTTTGTATTAAATATCTCCAATATGATTCATATTGGAATATGATCCATTTTATATGACAAAAAATTATATCCAAAAAATGTTCTTCTTCAATCATAAGTAACATAAATATACCAAGTACTCCCCGAGTTGGTCTGACTATTCCCAAAATCTAATCATCTCTTTAGGGAACCATTAAAACCCTATTTTCCAAATCCCATCGAAATCGGTAAAATTGTTTGGGCTGTATCGTGCAAAAATCGTTACACACAATATACATAATAGGTTCTTTCGTTCGCTGTTGGTGCAGTGTCAACCAGTGTAAATTACAACAGTTACACCACCTTATTTACCTAGTTTACTTCCTCCTTATTCCTGATACACATGTCGAGTATAATTCACTCTTGCTAAATAGCTAGTGGAGAAAATATCCACCAGTAGACACCACATCGCTGACAGGAAGGTGTAGTGGATGTTACACCGGACCAAACGAAAGGTATGATCTGCATTGATTGCTGCGTTTGAGAATCCACATCGGATGCATCTGAGATGTAAAAAATCTTTGATCACGTGATTCAGTATACGTAAATGTAATGGGACAGATGTGTCCGATGTGGATAAAAAAACGCTCGAGATGTAAAAAATGCATCCGATGTGGATTCTCAAACGCAGCATATGTAGTTCATTCCTACACCAGTGGGACGAACGAAAGAACCTATTATGTGTATTTGTATAATCGAATCGTACTTGTCGGTTCAGTTCGGCATCCAATAAATGCATTATTAAATAGTCGGAGAGCGTTAGTTCATTTTCATTTTATTTCATTTTATTTGTTGGGAAAACCGTTGGTTATTTTTTTCGGAGAATTGGTTAACAACTGACACAAGTGTTTCGCAGTGTTCCCTGTTCCACCCAATTTCCTTAAAAAAAACGAGTCAAAACTGGAGTATGAGGTCTAATTTAATGTTCCGCCAACTTACGTAGACAGTTGGTGGCATGTAAAAACTTTTTTATTATTAATATTAGAAAAAAAGTTATTCTTCATAAAAAGTCGAGCATGGTCTAAAACCTAAAATACAACTATTGGATATCAAATTTTATTAGTTATATACGAGGTTTCTCAAAAATAAAGGTACATACGGCTTGAAAAAATTGATATCTGATGGTTGCATTTTAAGTTTTGGACCGTGCAGAGCTTTTTATCAAGAATAAATTTTTTCATAAAATCAATAACAAAAAAGTTTTCCATATGGATCCTACTTAGTGAGACATATTGTATATATTTACTTGGTCCTGGACTGCTAGGCGAGTGTGCCTCATCCATTAGAATAAAAGAAAAGAAATAGCAATAGAAATACAAGTATACAATAAAAGAGAACCAAAATATATATCATTGGTGCGATTCTGTGATCTGAATTATCGACTGGGGGTGTCCCTCTGGTACAGAAGCGCCATCTTGATTTAATATATTTTAAGGGACACTTTTTGTAAACCGAGATAGTTCTCCTTACCTCTACATTCCATAGACGTTACTTACGTATGCGAATGATACCATCAGAAACCCATTTAATAATATTCTTACGTGACGTTACCGTTCCGTTAGTGACGCTGATGTGCCGTATAGTGCGAATTGACCATAATACACACGACTGACTAATAAATAATCCAATTACTTGTTTTTGTCAATCGTTCATCATTTAGTCACATGCTTTGTACTAATTGCTTCAACTCTTCAACCTCTAACCTAACGTGACGATAGATCTACCTTATTAAAAGATCCATATTTCTTAAAAACTACTTTTCCAAGATGCAAGTTCATGTATAACTACTCTAGAGTTCCAGATGAAACTGGAATGTATTAAGTGGGAATGAGGTGATTGAAAAAGTCCTTTCTGTCTCACAAAGTTCTTTGCCACCTCCACACTTATTTCCTATACTCTCATAATATGGCTACTCTCACCTTTAAACAATTTACTAACATTGAACGGACAGTTGGAACAGTCTTTGTGGACTTTGTCGTATACTTTTGCGTATGTATTTAAATAACACCCTTTATAGAAATCTAATACTTTCTTGAAACAAATAAGTTTGTATATTTTTAACCGACTTCAAAAAAGGAAGGAGGTTCTCAATTCGTCGAAATATTTTTTTTATGTATGTTCAGCGATAATTCTCTAACACGGTGTCCGATTTCAACGAGCCTTTTTCCTTTTTGTTAGAAAGGGGCTACTTCAGGGGCGGTACCATATAAATTTGGTTAAAATCTAATAATTGGGTCAATGAGAAAATGGTCACTCTTCAGTTTTTATGTACGTTTAGCGATAATTCTTTACCACCTTGTCCGATTTCAATGATTCTTTTTTTATTAGTAAGGGGGTACCTCAGGGGTGGTCCCATATAAATTTGGTGATGGCATCTGCACAATTTTGAAGTCGGTTTTTTAAAATTACTTTTAATACTTGTTCGGTAACATAATTCACTTTAAGGGTTTATTTGTTGCTCGGTGAACGTATAGCCATTTGAATATAAAGACAAAATACCAATTAAGTAGATAACATACAAAAAATTATTCTAACATACCTAATGGCTTCAGTGATGGGTAAGCTTTGCCAGCCCATAAGGCTGGCACTAAATTATTAGCCATACTCTGTGTCATTCTTTCTAATGCTTCAGACATCACTACGAGTCCCTTGAGAGCCTTTAAAAGATCACTAAGGCTGCTTTTAATGGCGAACAGAAGCTTGTTGTATCGAATAGCTTCTTGTAATATTACGGTGTTCAAAGATTCTTCGTAAAGCACGGGATATCTAAAAAATAGGTTTATCTTATTTATAATTTATTTCTGAAATGGTTTTTATATATACATAATATTTAATTATGTAAATACGAAAAATGATTTAAGCTATGACAAATTTTATTTTAAATAATAATTGGGGTATTTAAATGAGAGATGTAAGTAAACAATATTTTGGAACTACAGGACGACAGATATAGCTGAAGCCGTCAAGGTCATATGTGCAATGAATAGAAAAGCGGTTTTTCGAGGGGATCACTTGGATCATAATATAGTTTTCCATTTATGATACTTGTATTTTGTGTATTTATGTAGGTATTTAACTGCAAAATTAATAAAGATATGATTGATTATTTTTAAATATGCGTTTTTTGTGTATTGTGTGCTATTAGAAATGTTTTGAAAAATATTGTGCCATCACCATCCAAAATTGCTTGTAACGTGGTCGTTGAAAGCAAATATGTTTTTATGTTATGCAAATTCCCATAATAAAGGTTTTCCTCTCTTCTCATTTAGTTCGGAGTACCTGAAACGGCTTATATATATAAAAAAAGCGGTTATTACATGCCATATCGCTATTGCTATTATTATTTTACACAAAATGTAAGCCAGAACAGTTTATAATCGTGTTAATTTTTAAATTCACTCATTCGAAGGCCCGGCAACTATATCATTTTACGAATAATTCCCATGATACATGAAGCATTAAATAATCCTATAGAGCAGGGATTATCAAAGTGGTCGATACCGACCCCTTGGGGTTGCAATCGGCTTCCCAGGAGTCGACATAAACGAAAACTGATTTTGGGAGTCGACGAGGTCTAAAAATTGACCCCTATTTACACAAGTTCTTATTTGAAACTTTCAAGATACTGTATGCTATAAGTTGTTATAAGAATGACTAATATTTTAGTAGAAAGTATCATTGTTGTACTTTTAAAAAGTTCGTGCAAGATAATGAGTTCGAGCGTATAAGTATTTCAGGCACGTTTTGACTTCCTCTGTATTTGACGCATAAACGCGATTTAACACGAACGAAATCATGATCAAGTTCAAGTCCAAACATGCTCCTGTTATTTTACTAAGGTTAAACGTTCATTCGCGTTTTGAAGCCGAGAATACCGATCAAGGAGAAGCGACAGCTTGGTGTTTTTAGTGTACCGTTTTGTAACGCGCATGTGCGAAAATAAGTTGTGTATCACTCAAAATTATGTTATCTGTCAAAGTCAGTCCAAGTTGTGTTTAGTACGTGAGCAATGTTAAGTGATATTTTTTGGTGTTTGTTTTGTGTAGTAATAAGATGAAGATTTTTACACACCTAGGTATTCTAATACAGATATAAAATGTGCCCAAAAAGTTATTAGGAAACTAAGGGCCATTCGCACCGCTTCAGAATAAATTTCCCTTTAGTAAAGTGAAACTTATTATTTAAGTATTACTTATCGTAGTTTAATTCGCACCAACCTATTAGAAAGCAACGATTAATTATGAGTCGGATTGATTTGGCAACGTCAAGATTTTTCTAGAAAAAGAAGAAATAATGTCAAATTTTAATTTTATTTTGAATGTTTAATGAAAGCTGCGTTCAATGAGTGTATCGGATTCTTGCTGCGATTGGGGTAGCGGGATCAGCTTACTGAACGGTACGCTCAATTTACAAAAATTAAATTTGTGTTGAACGATAATTCTAATTTAATGAAACGTAGTATTTGCAATTGAAAGTGAATTTGTTTATTTGCCACTTGGAGTTTTCATCAACAATTTACAATAATTTTAATATTTAAGTATTTTTTGTATTATTTTTATCACATTAATCCCCAACCAGGTTGTTCTTCTAGCAATCGTAAATAGCGATTGGTTTTAGGCGTTTTAGGTTGATTTTAAGAGGTTTCCCGCTTATCTTTCTTGATAGAAGCAGAAACTAGCGCAAAAATGAAAGGCTCCCAAATGATACGGATCGATATAAAGCAATACGTATCGTAGAACGAAAGCGATTAGTATCGGTTGGGATTGTTATGTCTCACTGAACTCAGCAAAAATTATGATTGTCAGGCGCAGAAGAGAAAAAACTCTCTCCTGTGTCACAGGACTATTTAAAAAAAATAGATGAACTAAGAAGTAATAAAATAGAGCACGAAGTACAGCCATAATGAGAGTAAAATTAGTATTAATTCAATTAGTTAATATAAAAAAAAAAATATAGAAAACATACTAACGTTGAAAAATGGGGATGAGTTTAATGCTAATTTTACAAAAAAGATTCACAAAAAAACACTTTTTATAAAAATGGTTATAATTGTGTTGTCTGTAAAAATATTTGAGTTTGAAACCTACATATTTATTATAAGGGTACTATAAATTTGCTTTAATTTCATCAAGGCAATTAAGAGTTTTCTTCTGCCAATTCAAATCGCAGTTTAAAAGTAATCGTTTTTGTATATATTATTTTATATTCTTCGTGGTATCTTATATTAATGAAATCAAGCATTTTCAAAGCCTCATCATCTTCCATTATTTCCATTTTGTGTATTGCAAATTTTACAAATGTTATAAATCAATGACACAATGACAGTCAACATCACTCAAAATTATAAAAATTAAACATTTTAAGGTTAATTAATGGTTTAAGCTGAAAAATTTCTGGGCTTAGTAAAGTGATTCTTAACGCCTTGATAAGTGGAACTTTAATAACGGTGCAAACGGTTATGCCTTCTTAAGTGTCACTTTGATGCTAAGTAAAAGCGGTGCGAATGGCCCTAAGAATTTTATCACATGCATAAATATTAAGTATAATGATTTAATCATTTTTGACATTTTATTTTTCATATGTAGGTATTGTATTTTGTGAAATATATGTTTTTCTTCTTTTAAATAAATTTAATAAACAATGAACTGCAGAATTTATTTATTTTATTTTGAAATTATATTTAAAAAAATATAATAAATTCGCGTGTTTCAATTAGGATTGGTCAAAGTGGGCGAAATCCCTTTATTATGGCTAAATTGCAAATAGCCCAATCGAATTAGGTGAAGAACAGGCTTGAGATTCTGAAAAATTGGAAGCAGCAATTTTCCTTCGGAATTCGTTGGAGGGGGTCTCTGGTAGTCTAAATTCAAAAAGTTGGGATTCCAAAGTTGTCGCTACCTCCGCCATCTTGATTTAAAGGGTTATTTTTTGTATCTTGAATAACTCATTTATTTTCAATTTTACAAGGAAAATAGTTTTTACAAAAGTTATTTAAAATTAAATTTCCTACAATTCTGCTTTTTTTTGTACGATCGATTTTTTCGATTTAAACCCGAAAAGAGGGGGTGAATTTTTGGTTATAGAATAACTCGTTTATTTTCAATTTTACGAGAAAAATTGTTATAAACAATGTTGTTTAAAATTAAATTTCCTACAATTCTGCTTTTTTTTGTACAATCGATTTTTTTCGATTTATACCCGAAAAGAGGGGGTGAATTTTTGGTTATAGAATAACTCGTTTATTTTCAATTTTACGAGAAAAATTGTTATAAACAAAGTTGTTTAAAATTAAATTTCCTACAATTCTGCTTTTTTTTTGTACGATCGATTTTTTTCGATTTATACCCGAAAAGAGGGGGTGAATTTTTGGTTATAGAATAACTCGTTTATTTTCAATTTTACGAGAAAAATTGTTATAAACAAAGTTGTTTAAAATTAAATTTCCTACAATTCTGTTTTTTTTCTGTACGCTCGATTTTTTGTATTTACCCCTGAGAAGAGTGGGGGTAAACTCTTATCATTGTATTATCACGTTTCTTTTTAATTCCAGGTATCAGCAAAAAAAAACAAACAGAAAAAATAACGGTACAACATCAATAATAAACGTGACAATACAATACTTAGGTTCACCCCCACTCTTCTCAGGGATAAATACAAAAAAATCGATCGTACAAAAAAAAACAGAATTGTAGGAAATTTAATTTTAAACAACTTTCTTTATAACAATTTTTCTCGTAAAATTGAAAATAAACGAGTTATTCTATAACCAAAAATTCACCCCCTCTTTTAGGGTATAAATCGAAAAAAATCGATCGTACAAAAAAAAAAGCAGAATTGTAGGAAATTTAATTTTAAACAACTTTGTTTATAACAATTTTTCTCGTAAAATTGAAAATAAACGAGTTATTCTATAGCCAAAAATTCACCCCCTCTTTTCGGGTATAAATCGAAAAAAATAGATCGTACAAAAAAAAGCAGAATTGTAGGAAATTTAATTTTAAACAACTTTGTTTATAACAATTTTTCTCGTAAAATTGAAAATAAACGAGTTATTCTATAACCAAAAATTCACCCCCTCTTTTCGGGTATAAATCGAAAAAAATCGATCGTACAAAAAAAAGCAGAATTGTAGGAAATTTAATTTTAAACAACTTTGTTTATAACAATTTTTCTCGTAAAATTGAAAATAAACGAGTTATTCTATAACCAAAAATTCACCCCCTCTTTTCGGGTTTAAATCGAAAAAATCGATCGTACAAAAAAAAGCAGAATTGTAGGAAATTTAATTTTAAATAACTTTTGTAAAAACTATTTTCCTTGTAAAATTGAAAATAAATGAGTTATTCAAGATACAAAAAATAACCCTTTAAATCAAGATGGCGGAGGTAGCGACAACTTTGGAATCCCAACTTTTTGAATTTAGACTACCAGAGACCCCCTCCAACGAATTCCGAAGGAAAATTGCTGCTTCCAATTTTTCAGAATCTAAAATACTAATCCGATTGGGCTAAAAGAGGTTAGAAAGGGTAGAGGTAACATAGGAAGCATTTGTCGCTGCGCAAATTTTGCCAAAACCGAAAAACTGGGTGGAAGGAGTAGGGAGACGTTCTGGGCCGGACTTAAATATTTGTATTGTAGTACCTAATTTTGGTGGGTAACTAAAAGATGAAAAATTATGAGACGTTTTTTTGACTTTATTTGTTAGCACGATTCATGTATGATGAGGGCAATAACACTTATCAATACATAACTAGCTAAGGGCCGAT